CTACTATGGGCCAGGTACCTCCCTAGAAACTGAAGGCAGCATGGTGAGCAAAGCAGACATGGTCCTGTACTTAGGAGTGTTAAATCAAATGGGAAACACAGACATTGATCAAACAACCACACATAAAAATAAGATTATTTTACTAACTGGCTCTATTACTAAGTGGTATAAAAGAAGAGTATTCCTAGAGTATTAACAGCATAAAATAGTTATGGGTCACAGGAAACAGCCCTGAGAAAGTGATGTCTGAGTGGAGAACGGAAGGATAAACAGACAAAAACTCAACCAAGAGTGGGGAGAAGAGCATCTGGGTGACAGAACTGCGCCCACAAATGCCCTGAGGCAGGAAACAGCACAGAGAAGGTGGAAGAGGTGATCAGAGAGTTAAATGGAATAAAGAAAGAGAATTTACATACCTATCGGATAGCTGTCATATGTCAGATGGCACAGATAACCGTGTGTATGTGATATTTGTACACACTCGTATGTCTATAAATAGACATACGATAGCCCTCATAATAACACTTAAGACAGGTTTTATTAACCCAATTGCACAGACAGGCAAGCTGTAGCTCAGTCATTAAGATAAAGAACTAAATCAAGGGCCGGCCGAGTGGCTCAGTTGGTTAAGAGCTCGCACAAGAGTGCGAGCTCTGAGCAACAGTGGTTCGATTCTCGGCCCAAGCTGAGCTGCCAACAGGTGACAGGATTGCTCAGCTAAAAAAAAAAAGAACTAAATCAAGGTCATAACAGCTTAAAACCCTTCCATGGCCATCAGAAGTCCCCAGCCTGGACTCAGCTGTCCTGTTACAAACTCCCATGAGAGCCCCTACGACTCCTTTAAAAATTCATTACAACTGCAGTTACACAGCTTCCTGTGGGCATTAGCTAAATGCCTCTCTCTCCCACTAGACAATGAGTTCAAGAAGGCACAAAAGATGTATCTGGCACACAGTAAATGTCCAATAAATTAATTAATTAAAGAGCAATTTTTTTTAAAAAGCTACAGATTGGTACAACTATTTTGAAAGCAATTTGTCAATATCTGTTATGATTTCAAATACCCTATTACTCAAATATTATTTATAGAAATCTATTGATTTATTGATTTATTAGAGTATGTATGATATTGTTGTATTGATAGATACAAGGACTTGTTTTCTCTGTAAGAATTTAAAACAATGGAAATAGTCCAACTATCTATCCATAAAGCAATGATTAAATACACTGATGTGTCTGAGACACAATACATTTATCAGTTGATATTTGTGTGTGTGTGTGCATGTGTGTGTGTGTGTGTGTAAACATACAAAATAAAGTTAGAAAAGTTTTGTGCATGTAAAAGTCAGTGGTTATCTCTGAGAGATGGGAAGGTAGGGATAAAAAGGTAAGGCTCTTCACTACTTGAGAAAACCAATACAAGATAAGAGGGGATTCCATTTTATATTTAAAAATAAATGAAATAAACACTAAGTTTACCAAGTCAAACGGAGAGAAAAGCCATGCTATGTGTACTATTAAAATGCACCAATTCACAGTAAGATGAATTCTATATATTTGAAGAGACATCTCACAAGTCAGACACAAGTCATTAAATCTTTTTCCTTCAACACAACTAGATATCTGGTCAGGTCTAAATATCATATTGCAAGAGGCATACACCGATATAACCAGGATATGAAGACATGTTACTCGTGTGAAACTGGTCAGCTTCCTTCTGGACCTGGGTGTGAGTTTCTGTTTGACCAGTATGCTGAGACTATTATAAGATCTACACGCTTGATTTTATGACTTCCAACCCTTAGAAGAGCTCCCAGGGGCCTGTGGAGCCTGACCCAGGCTGTCTTACTCGCTGACGGACACGCTGATGGTTCCTGTTGTGAAAACCAGGATCCTTAAAGGCGCACACGGCATCCTCACTCCTTCCCAGCGAGGTCGTTGCTGCTTCTCTAGGAAAAAGCCCTCCAGAACCCCCAAGGTGCATTAAGCTGCCCATCGGCTTATAACTTATTAGAAATCAGCTGACACCTTCTATTTTTTAAAGAAGCTTCCTAAATAGTCTTTTACATGATAGATACCTTCCAACTGTAGCCCCAGGGTGTTTTAAGAGTCCAGTTATCAATTCTGTAACAGTAAGTTACTTGTCGTTACCAAGCAGATTCTGTGGTCCTCAATCCATCTGACGGTACCCACTGGGTGAGCGGATACAAACGTCCCTGATGGTAAGATCCACGTAAGCAAGGCTGCTGAGCTCAGAAGCACAGTAAACAGAAGGCGGCACTGACGGGGTCTTCCTTCCTCACTGGCCTGAGCCGTGTGAACGTGCTGAAGATGAAGGCGACAGGGCTTCTGCAAGGCGCTCGGGTGGCGCATCGCTTCTCTCTGGCTGCAAAGGGACAGGAGTCCCTTCCCAGGTAAATAAATGGCATGGGCTCACCTGGACGTGCGCAGTAGGAGTAGCAAAGAAGAAAACCAGCTTGGACAAGGGCGGAAACTCTAGAAGACGACCAAAACCCCAAATCATTGACCTTTCCATGGGGGCAAGACTGGTAACCGCACCTATCACCCATCTGTTCCCTTTACCTGCCTTCCGACATAGCCGCCCAGTAAGGACTCGCCCTCTCTCCTTCCCACCATAATTAAAGAGCTCTTGTGCCTGAAGGTTTAAGCGCAGAATTTTATCTTAGTTACTGTCTCTCTTGTAAGGACTGTGTTTGTCTTTCTATATCTCATCAATAGGCAGCTGTTTTGTAAAATTTTGCATTTGCATTTCTTTTTAAAATTCAGACTATAAATTTTTATCGTTCATTAATTTGCAAAGACATATTTTGTCGGTGATTAGCTGTTTGTGCTGGTGGCGGGAAGTCCCTAAAACAGAAAATCAGATAACCGATTAGGAGTGAGTCACTCTAACCATGGGGTTTAACCAGTCAGCTTGATAGCGTTCTGTGATAGTAAGAATATGCCTTCCTTGGCTGTCGTGCTTTTATAGTTTAGAGAGCAATCTCCAAACTGTGTCCGCCTTACAGATGAGGAAGTTAAGTGGCATGACAGCTCCAGTGGCTGGACTCAGGCTGGAGAGCAGGTTCTCTCTGTCAGCGATTGCCAACGATTGCTCAGAGAACCTGTGACGCCTTTGCAGGGAACGAATGCAAGCCGTGTGCACTGGCATTGCTCTGGGGAGAGGTCAAGGGTTTTCATCCGATTTTCCAAAGAAGTTCTGTGATACCAAGATCTCCAAGGGTCACTAAAGGAAGGTACACGGACTTCTGCATCAGCCAGACCTGATTTCAAATGCCAGTGCTTCTATTTGCTAGTAATGACACTTATTCAGCTCTCAGAATCGGGTGAAGGCTAACTAGGAGAATGCACACAAAGCACCTTACCTTGTTTCTAACTCCTCACGATAACTCCAGGAAGCAGAGATTACGAGCTATGCTCCCAGATCTCTGAGAGGCCAAATATACAGACAGACAACGGCCAGACCACATATGAAAACAGAACTTCGAACCACAACCTTCAGCAACCTGACCAGAAAACCAACCTTTTATCTCTGACAAACAACCCAGGAAGCCAGTTGGCTGTGTCGGACTTGTAGGAAGCTAGACCGTTGCCTCCAGGGACAGTCCAGGAAGCTAAGCAATCACTTGGGTAACAATCGCCCCAAATGGCCAGGGCCTGATTAAGAACTGACAGCTTCCCTGACTTTTGACCCCACTTCCAACTTAGCAGAGAAAGCCAGAGACGCATCTCTAGCCAATCACATAAGATGCCCCACTTTTGTTAGGTCACCCCAGCTTCTCCACGCTGACAGCCTCCAACCAGGGCATGTGTTAAGCCGGCACTTTCTTCCCCATCAGGATTTCCCACTCCTCTGCTGAGTCTGCCGGGACGTCAGCGACCGCGGCTGACGACCTTGCTGCGTCAGCTCGGAATGAACAGCCTCTGCTCTTGCATGCTTCTCCTCGCTATTTCCACTGTTCGGCTCCTTGCCCAGAGCAGCAGCTTAGCTGGGCACGTGACCCGCCAAATGAAGACGATACATTCCAGCCTCCCTTAAGGCTAGATACGTTCACGACTCAATTCTGGCCTTTGGGACGAAGCTGAAAGCGTTGTGTGGCAATATCCAGTAATGTGCCTTCAGATACAGCCAGCAAGTACCTTTTGTCCCTTCATGCTGGACGATGACGTGATCAGCTGTAAAGAGGCTTGGTCTCTGAGAAGTCGATACATCAGAACTGCCATATTGAACCCAGAATTTGATTTATATTGTTGTATAAAATAACAATAAGAATGCAGCAGTAACTTCCACTTCCACACATCCTTACTACGTGTGAAGCACTATTCTAAGGTCTTAATAATGATCAATTAATCATTCACAACAACTTGATGAAGTGCATCCTATTATTATTCTGATCTTGAGAAAAGGCAGCACAGTGGAGAAACTTACCCAAGAACAAGCAGTTTTTAGGCTGCTGCTCTTTGGGGGTTTCTATAACTTGTAGGTGAACTTAAAAGCCCAATTAATATCCGTTAGCAAAGACAGTGAACTAACTGCTAAGTGGGTGAATCAGGGTTTGTGTACAAGGTCTGAACGCAAAGCCACTTTCTTCTTCGATGGCCCCCTCCCGGGGAACAGGTGAGTCTGCACTAGATCCCTTTCTGCCCCCCTTCGCCTGATGTCCAGAGATACAGGATTAAAGCAGTTCTGCTCAGAGAACTCCAGCTGCAAGATGTTAACTTGAGCTTACAGAAGACAAACCTCTTGGTCTATTTCCAAGTTGATTTCGCGCATTCACACATCTAGGTCAGCTAGCATGAGCTTCACCAGGTAAGCCAGTTTTATAATTATAACTATCGCTACAGCCTACCATTTATTACATACCTACCCTAGTTTAAGCATTGCGTTGAAATCTTTAAAGTACCTGACATGCCCATATGTTTAACAGACAACTCTACTTAAAAAAATATTTTTTTTAGTTGTTTTTTTCAAACCTTACCTTTATCATTCTGGAGAGATCACCAGCATCTGCTAATTCCAAAACTATGTTTAGTTCATTATCTTCAATGAATGATGCATAATATTTAATTACATTTGGATGGTTCAATTGCTAAGGAAAAAAAAAAAACAGGCATCAGAAAGTTTTCTTACTGTAAATTCCCAAGAGTCACTTATAGTTTCCTAACTTAATAAACTTAGTTACTACGTTTCATTTTTAAATTATGGAAATATTAACATGACAGCGTACTTTTCTTCAATACAGTGAATTTTGAAACAAGCATTGTAATTATTAAATGTAAAACTAGATAGCAATTAATTTTATTTTAATGTTATTTAGTAAAAATAATAGAGTAAATTATGCACTTAAAATTTTAAAAAGTATTGCTAGTCCAATAAATATGTATATGCATATAAATAAATGACAGAATTAAATTATCACTTGCTAAAACCTTTTTTGAAGTTAGGGCTGATCCTAGTATAACTACAGCCAGTGGTTAAAAACAAAAAAACAAACAACAGCTGGCATCTATTATACTGTATCTAAATATTGCTTTTATGTCAAATAATATAAATAAACTGGCGTTATTTATCTATGGGGGCTGATTCATCAAATCACCCTAAGAAAAATTTCACCATGTAGAAATACATGAATCAGTCTATACACAGTTAAGATCTTTTTGTACAATCTTTTTGTTCAGTCTTTAAACAAGTTAACATAAGACAAATAGTTTCTCAAAGAAAAGTATTCAAGAATTATCCCAGAGAATAAATACATGAGTTTCTTCTCTTCTTTCTACTTAGAGGTTTTTCCCCAACAAAGTTTATATCTATTTTCAAAGCAGTGACTTCATGTCCCAGGAAGTAACTACAACCAATAGAATAGTTAAAAATCATGGTTCATTTTGATTTTACTCTTATATTTTGGATCAATCCGACTCATTTTATGCACAAACAAAAAACGGACGGCATAAAGAACACCCAGGTCCTGTCTACAAGTTAAAAATGTAAGAAGCCAAAGCATCCTGCAAAAGAAATTTTATGAGAATAAAAGCAGCGCAGAGCTAACTGAAATTTCAGTCACTCTCTTTGGGTGGATGAGAAACTCCAAAACTAATTCTGACATAGACTTCACACCACCCTTTCTAAATCTGGAAAAAAGATCGAGAAATAATATTTAAAACCGTGGGCCATTTGGGGTCCACATCCTCAATATATCACACCTTGGGACAGTACTAAAGAGCATTTATATTATTTAACCTTTAAGAATATGTCTTAATTGGGATGGTCAAGAAAATATTTCTTCAATGTTTTATGTCCCTTTTATCCATTTCATAGTTTGAAATGGGGAAAAAAGAAAGCTAATCCTACCAAATGTTCTGATTAAGTTATTTACAATGAATCCAAAACATAATTATATTCTTCAGTAGAATGAGATTCAAACTTATAGAGTTGAAATAAGAGTGGCATAAGTCTTAAACATCTTTTTGCTTGTAAGTGTAGTATTTTAATAAATTACTTTTATCAACATATTTGGGTATGTCAATAGTTCATTGGTCATTTACCTTAAGGAGATCTATTTCTTTGATACAATCAGCACGGGCTTTGGCATCCATTAAATCAAATATCTAAAAATAGAATCCAGAATTATTTAATAAAATAATAATTTATAGTTTAAGCTTCCATGTAAATTCATTATGATATTCTGTATATAAGTAAACACACACTAAAAATGTTCTTTCCGATGAGCTTTTAGGGGCTGTAGAGATCTGTAGGTATTTTATTTCATGATACCACCAGAGTTCACATTTTCCCTCCAAAGGCAGTCAGTATTAAAAATGGGAAAAGAAAACAGCTAGATATTTCAAGTTTTAAGTCCAAATGGAACACAATGGAAGTTGTGATCACTGATACAATAAAATAATAGTTAATCTTGAACAATTAACATGTGCTAACCATACTGCATGAACGATCTCATATAATTCTCATTTAATCCTTATGGGTACAAAAGTATCAGTAATCCCGTTTTACAGATGAAAACAAGTAGGTGTAGAAAGCTTAAGAAACTGACCTAAGTTCACAGAGCTAATTCATGCAGCAGCCAGGATTCACTCTCAGAGTTAACCACCTATACCCCCCTCTCTGAACCATTAACCTGTATGCTCAAATCATGTCTGAAAGGTGTACTGCCTGCATTCTTGACAGGATGCTGTCACTTCAAGGAGGTGAAATTGGCTCTTTGGAGAGAGGAGTGACAAAAATCTTACTCTTTTTAAGTATAAAGCACAGACATACATACAATACATAAACAGATATACTATATCCATGGAATTAAAATTTCACGGGGGAGGGGTAATTAGGGAAACATATCTGAAAAGGCTCCTTGGGAGATGATAATGAAGAAACGGTTGACAAATGTTGGTCAATGTGAAAAAATACAAAAATATATACAATCAAAGGGATATTTAACATGTCTCTGAAAACAAAGAAATCTCTCAATGTACTAAGCGTTTGCAAAACAGACAATAAATAAAAAGCAATATCCTAAATATTACAGAAACTATCTGAATAAGTCAACACTACAAGCTGATTAAAACCCCCGAGACGTAAGAAAACAACTTGAACGACATTTCTGGTCCTCAGCAGATCAAGGCTTCCTGATGGAGGCAGCCAGTCCGGCCCAGGAGACGGTGGTGTGTAACCCAGACAGGAGCGGCGAGATCCCAGTCTTTTTCACGGGAGAAGCAATTACTGAACACCTACCAGAGGGCGTAGCCTTCCTTACAGATGCTGCTGCGATCCTCAGCATGTCCTTATCAGGTAGGTAATAATGGCTCCAACTCAGAAACCAGGACTGAGGCTCCCAGAAGTTACACATAGGCTATGGTCGTAACACTAGGAAGGCGCAGAACCAGGGCTTGAACCCAGGTCGCTCCAGCTCCAGAGTCTGTTTTCTCCACTGGCCCCAGCTGTTGTGAAGTCTAACCCATACACACTAACTAGTAAGTTCTAAAATGCATGTGTGTGCAGAGTGTACTGTCCCAAACTGAAAAAGGATTCTCCACGTAGGGAGGGTATAACATGACAGCTGAACCCTGAAGGAAGTACAGGATTCTGCCAGGTAGCAAGAACAGGTATCCACGGCCTCAAGTAAATACAGAGGATGGGGCATGATGACAGCTCATATGAGGCAGCTTAGCTCTAAATCACTCTTAACACCCAAATATGCACATGGTCCTAATTTTTCCTTAAAACAAAACAAACAAAAAAATCAATGAAAAAAACATAACATTTTTACAAAATAGAATTCGTAACCTCATTTTCTTAAAGAATTCGAGTTTTTGCTCACTCCCTTCCATCTCTTGTACAAAAGTATGTCTCTGACAGTGAAAAGTCATAACAGTATATAAAATGATGGATGCTTTTTCATGTAATGTTACAGCAAAATACTTTCCCTATTTCAACAGTCTTCAAATTATTTTGATTGTACAGTTTCTAATGAAAACTGCAAATATCAAGTTTATGTTTTTCAAGTTTTAATGTGAAACAGCTGAGCACTGATTACTGTTATGATTTGAAAAAGTATAGACTCATGTTCTAGTCAGTGGTTTACAAAAAAGAGAGACAAACTGACGGCGTCAGAGTTCCTCGCACTGAATTCAAATAACAGAAAAGGAAACGTGTGCACCAGTATGTGTATTAGAAAGAGAAACTTCTCTTTTCTCCATTAGCAGTAATTCTAACCACCTGAGCCACACTTAACTTGTATTAAATACTATGACTTCAAAACACACAGAATGGAATGGAAGAAAAAGGAAACAAACAAAATCAAACAAAGAAAGGACTATGAGTGGCAAATCCCTATCACAAAGTTTATATAGAATATCAAGTAAGAAATTTTTTTGCAATTGTCAAGCCCTCGTATGTATCAAACTTTGGGAAAATGAGAGTATATTAGATAATAATGCACACTAATAGCAGGAGTTTAGGAAAAAAAACAACTACCTGCATTAAAGCACAGTGTGACACAACACGTGGAGGGAAAGACCGTATATGTTGCAATCCTCTCCAAGATACCTCAGTTTTATTCTACACACAGACTAACATAAGAAGGTCGGCTGTTCACGTTCTTGCTTTCTATCTTTCACAAAACCGTGCTGCATGCCAACTTATTATTCAACGTTATTCTAGATAAAATAAGAAAACAAGCTTGCAGTCCTCAGAATGTACCGTCAGATGCAGAATGCAGACGAAACACAGAAAATTCACACACAATCTGTGAGCGCCGCTGGTATGGAGCGACGGGGGAGACTCCATGGGGAGGAGTGCGGCTGCCAGGGCTCTCACACTTGATTTATAGATGCAGAGAAGTGTAATACACTTTGGAAAGGTTCCTTACAGAACAGGAAAACCAAAAGTTCATTACTTAAATGTGAAAGCTTCATATTGAGCAATTTCACATAGAAAAGCCACTGGTTTCCCAAACTCCCCAAATGATGCCAGGAAAATGATGTTGTTACTATGTAACATGTTGAACAATAACAAATGTTAATGTAAACAGAAAATTTTGGATTTGACCTTAGTTACAGGAAACACACACTATTTATGCTTAAAAATCAAGATGGCAAGAGAAGCAACTGATTTTTGACAAAACACAAAAGCTGATGCCACTGTCGGGAACTACCAGCCAGAAGGGACTTGGATAATCACAGAAGTGTGGGGAAGTATAAAATTGCAAATGTCTTAGATCTTGAAGGAAGTCCTGAAAACATTTTTATTTTTTTCAGGAGCTAGAGAAAGGATCATTCTGGTACTAGTGATTAAAGTGAAGAAAATCACAAACCTGGAGACATGTATAAATCTAATCCCCCAGTAGTCAATGTCTCTATGATGGAAACAATTCTTAAAAACTAAAGACAGTGAGTGAGATGACAATAAGATGTGTATGAGAGCTTTAGGAAACCCTAACTGGACACAAAATACCAAGATAGAAGCATGCTACACAGAAATTGTGAATCTTCAACTCAACTTAAAATTAAACCAATTTAGAATCAGAAATTAACCTTTATTTTTAACTGGATTCTCAAAAATAGCAAGTCACTCCTCCAACACTAAGAAAAATAAGCCCTGCTGGCATATTTAAGTCAGAACAAAATTCCGAACCAAATATATTTAATTGGAAATTCAGAAGTATCGTTTTCTCTTAGCCAGCAAGTCAAGACAGAAATAACAGCTGAACCTTGAGATTAAATCATTCCCAGACAGAGTAGAGTCAAAGCTGTCTGATTTCCTGAGCAAGAAAAGACAACACATACGGGGGGGAAAAAATCTGGATTTTGTAAAAATATTTTTCATAAAATATTTACAACTTTGTCTTCAGAAGCCATCTTTTTCAGCTCTACCCAAGTTTCCTTAAGCTTTTTAAATTTATTTTCTACTTGGAAAGAGCGAAGTTATTAGGAGTGTTTAGGCAAGTCCCGGCTGACAAGTTCTTGGTATTCTCTGAATCACTTAAAAAGTGTTCTTTCGTCATCTTCAAATTTTGCCAAAATTACTCATGATTACTGAAGCTAGATATCTTTAAGAGGGAAAAGAGGCCTTCGAGTAACTTAACAGAAATATCTTTGAAAAGGCATATGTCAATTTGGTAAGGAAGTCCTTTAAATATACGCCAGGAGAGTTCCAGGAATCTGGTGTATCTCACTGTACATCCATGTTGCACAGATGGACGTGGTAACCAGTACCCCCCCTGCCTCCCCAGCTCTACAGGAACTCAGCAGCCTGTCCCCAAACTGAGTCCCTGTGACAAGACCTCAGCCTTCATTCTGATGCCACCCTTGGACCATGCCTCTGTTCACCCTGTGTCCTTGTCCCTCTTGGCCCTGGTGGCAGCACGGCTTCCCGGCCTCTATTCCAATGCCATGGCTGCCAGGGCCGCCGAGCCGCTGTGGGGTGAGGGACAGCTGTGCTCCCAGCCTGCCCCTCTCTGGCCTCCTTCCCAGTGGTAGGCAAACTCCCTAGAGAATCGCTCTCTTCTGTGAGGGGCAGAAGATGGGGACGGGCGCTAGAAAACCCATCGCACAGGGCTGGGCCTCTCTAGATACAAATCACAATCAACTGAACAAGGTAATTTCCAAATTCCGCCAGCCCTCCCCTGCCGAACACGCAGGCACTCCAAAGGGTGGAGGGATGGGTGGGGTCACGTGGGGCAGGACAGACGCTGAGCAAGGTGAGTGCAAGAGATGGGACGCCAGCGCCCCAAACCCCGCCCCCTCTCACGGGCAGGCCTGGAGCCCAGCTCTGCCAGCCCTCCTCTCCTAATGCATCAACATGTCTGAACCGCAAAGTAAAATTTCTTGAGGTTTCCTTGAGGTCCTGGCAAATGATGCTATGGAACTAGATACCTGTTTGAATCACTAATTATTCTATGACTCTTAAAACCTTCGTTTCCCAGGGGATGCCTTGTAACTAAGTCTACAGTACAGTGATCTCACTTCCAGCCCATCAGTAAAACCTCTGCTCCACAGGTTTCCTTGACATTAAAAATTTCAGAAAATGACGGCAGGAAATTAATCTCCTGTTCAGATTTTATGAGAGCTGGAAGCTTCAACACAGTAGGAAGCCCCCTACTTAGTACAGCGGAAGGCACGGGTGAGAATGTGGGTGCAGGAGCAGCAACCAGCGCTAAGTCTTACCTGTGACATGCCCCAAAGAGAGACAGGGGAAGGGGAGCCGCTAAAGAGAACAGAAAGGGGAACCTGAGGGGCAGGAGAACACGGCGGCGTAAGCACAGCAAAAGGGGAGGCACGTTTTAAGAAGCACAGACTCCACAGAGATGTCAGTAAGAAAGGCAGCCGATGGCGTCGCAGGCAGGGAAGGCAGCTGACGGGCGAGGAACGGGGCAGCTGCTGCCAGTCTCAAAGGAGGCAGAAGAGGGTTTCATCCAGGGCACAGGGAGACTTACGAGAAGATGCATTAGGATGGCTGGGCAATCGTGAAAGCACGTCCGACAGCAGACACTGTCCCTGTCACACAGGTGACATTTTCGGCTGAGCATGGATGTGCTCGGGCTGTGGCTGAGGCTTCAGAATAGTAATTTTTAACTTCCACTGCGGACAACATCATAATCATAAATCCACTGATGTGGCCGTTTTCCTACACTGTGGTTAAAATACAGCCGAGTGTGGCCGGGTGCGTTTCCAGGGAAAGGTGAGCCGAGCTCCGAGAAGTCACCTGACCCGCCTGCGCTATAGGTTCCATGGGACAGAGAAACGAAGCCATGCACAGCGGAGACACGCCGCGATCGGGGAGCAGCAGGAAGGGGCCGGGTTCTAAAGGCGAAGTGTCCACACCGCTCCAACAACAGCTGACAGGGGCCCGAGACAGTGATCACTGAAATCAGGCCTTAATATGAGGCTGGGGAACAGGGAGACGTGCGCTGTCAGGCAGTTTCGTCGGAAGGAGGGAGTGGGGGAGAACGGGGATTGTAAATAGTGCAGGTCCTGGGGCGGGTGCCACGTTAGAGACGCAGAGTGAGCCACGCCTGGACCGGGGGCAGTGCCCTGGCGACAGGCGGTGAGAGGCCATGAGGCCTGGTCTCAGAAAGGTCAACAAGGAGCCAGGGACAGCACCGAGGGATGATGACAGCAAGGGGCCTGAAGCGTATTTTTAAAAAGGACTGCAGACTGGCGGGCGGGGACGGCACTGGCCTCAGATGGGAGTGAGGGGTGGCTGGGCGCAGGATGAGGGCTGAGCGGCAGCACAGAGCTGGCCCCGAAGGAAGACGGCCCCACCCTCCACCGTACCCCAGTCAGGACAGCTGGGCGTCTGCTGGTGGACAGGGCTGTGAGCAGCCGCTGTCAGCAAGGCGGAGCTCACTCCAGCAGAGGCTGGGGAGCTCCCTGGGAAGCAGGGTGGGTGCCTCGCCTGGGAAGCTGCCTCCGCCATGACAGCTGTGGCATCACTTTGCTTCTCTGCATTCTTTTAGCTCCAATGTTTACAACAATTTAAAAATCTCATCTTTCGTCATTTTTGCTCATCTAGCCAATAATATTATTTACTTAGTAGCCAAACACTTTTCAGTTCATAACGTTTGGCCTTATTCTTGCTGTGTACTGAACAGGATGAATCCAGTGTCTACACAGCAGTCTGTGCAATCTCTAAAACTATGTGCCAGATTTTATCACCCCTGCTGAAACTCCTTCCCTGGCGAGTCATTACCCTTATAACAACATATAACATACAAATAACTTATTATATCAACCTCTCTCCACGGCCTAAATGAAACTCCCCAAAGCCGGTCCCGCCTCCTCTGTGATCCCACGCGACTTCCCCCCTCATTCACTTGCACGGTGAGGTCACTGTGACCTGTCCTCAGCACAGCCAAGTCCGCCCCCTGTCCAGGCCTTTCACTGGTCACCTTCTAAATCCAGGTCCTCTTCTTCCTGCTAAGTCTTTGCTGTCTGTCACCCCCACAAAAATGCTGACCTCAACTGCTGCACCCCTGAACCAGGGGTCATGATTGATAATAAAAACCAACTCCAATTCTAGCTCTAACCAATGAGCTGGTATAACAAAAGGAATTATGTTTACCAGATCAAAACAATTCGACAATCTTCCAACACAAAGGACTGAGGTTCTGAGACCCAGCTCACATCCCCTGGGAAGACTATCCCAACCTGCCCCTCACCCCCCGCTCCCATTACAGCGCCCATCTCTGACTGGAGGTGTCGTTGTCACACTGCTGTGGAAGCCCATGAATCCTGTTACTTCGTTTCTCTTCAATTCCTGAAGCCTTGCACACAGGCATTTGAACACTGTGATCATTATACCTGGGGAGTGAATCTGTGTAGAGAAGGACGGGGGACAGCAAAGGGAGGCAGGGAGAGAGGGGAGCAAAGCTGGCACCCAGAATTTCAAAAACAGCCCATCAGTTAGGGCACCACCTTAATTTTGGCAAATGAATCATGAGGATGTGGATCAATTTCAAAGAGACTGGTCAGTGCTGCCTGCCGTACGCTGCAGCTCAGAGCCCTTTATGACTTCAAAGACGTACCCTGCACTCAGCACCCACACTCTGCTTTCCACACACGGGCACCCGGCAGACCTGAGGAAGGCCACCAGGGCTCAGCTTTCCAAAGGCCTCCAGAAAGCGGAGCCTGATGGTGCGGGACACGAAGGGCCTGGGAGATGACGCTGGGGGTCTGGATGGTAGCTCTAAAGCGTCTCATTAGCGATCCGTAGCGGACCGTTCGGCAGGTGTCTGCACCAGGAAAGACACGTGTGGGCAGCATGGAGGTGCTGTTCAAACAGCAAACACCGAACAACCTGAATGGCACCCAACCGGGCAGAGAGCCACTGAACACGACACAGCAGCGTAAAGGATCATGGGACGACATCTATATAAAGTTCAAACAATGCAAACGCAAACAGGCTTATTCATCAATAGGAATGCATACAGATGTGGGGAACCCAAAGAAACGCAAAGGAATGATAAAAACAAAATTTAGGACACGGTTACCCCGGAGGGAAGGGAGAGGCAGACATGGGTCCAAATGATCTTTAACGCTCTATTAAGCGTTATTAAGGAGGTATGAGGGTATCTCTATTATTCTTTTATTCTAACATATATGCTATATAAAATCTCTCATAAATATTATTTCCTTAAAAAGGTAAGTGAAACTGTTCATCTCTGTAATGGCTGTTGAAAGTATACTGATCCTCTAAAAAGTTAAAATAAAATAAAAACAAAGGAAACCCAGGTTTCACAGGTCTCCAGAGAGAAAAGGCGTGAGGGCTGCAGGGGGAAGTGGGCGGGCGACCGCAGATGAGAGCAGCAAGCATCCGTAGGAGACAAGTACCACTGTGAGGTCACACATACTCGGAGGCAGAAAGACAAGTGTTTTCTTGACCAGAGGGCAAGTGACAGAGTTTCCAGGCTTGCTGAGGCGAGGAAACTTCCAGGGTTCTGGCCAGAGAGCACTGCGGGCTGGCTCAGGGGGGCCAGCACACCAGGGTAGGGGTGGACACGCTAAGATAAAGGAACCCAGGAAAACAGAAACGAGCCAGGACTGGAGAGCACAGCTGATTCTAGAACGATACAAATGCAACATGGAGGCTTTAAACAGGACATCAGGCCCCTAATTTGATCTGCTTCACTTTTTCCTTCACTTGTTGCCAGTGTGGTCTCTATATTAACGTCTTGCCTCAGCCTGACCTCGACCACCACTTGTTAACCTCCTGCTGTGAGGCCTGCAGCTGCAGCTGCAGCTCCAGCTGAGGAAACGACAGCTAGTTACAGGCCAGTCAGGAGCCGTGCCCCGTAAAATCCAGAGTTGCGGAAGCTTTTCTAGGATCATTTCGGTCACTACTGAATCCAGGTGAACAAAACCAGCTTAAATTCTAAAGCCTACAGGCAATCGTAAAACTAAACATTAATTGCCGCTGGGTGCTGCCCTCAATTCGAGCTTGAAAAGTGCAGTCGTTATTCCTTCCCAGAATTCCCAGTGCGGGACGGTCACCTCCCAATCCATTAGCACATGCTCTTCCCTATGTTACTCATACAGATGATGTTACAGTGATTTATAGAATTGAAATCATCTTACCTGCACTTTTTTTAAAGCTACTGGTACTCCATCCAAGAGACAGGCCGCTCTATAAACTTCACTAAATTGCCCGCGACCAATTTTCTTTTCTATTCGGAAGTTGGCTAATGTATTATAGCCCATATCCGGTCGTAAGGCCTTCTGTAATTAAAAAAAAAAAAAAAAAAGTCAGAAAAGTTCTCAGTTGCATGATATACACGCAATCATTGATTGTTTTCACATAAGTAGGTGGGACCTATGGTAAGCTTGCAGATAGCCTTCATTCAACAAATAGTTACTGTCGCCTGTTCTTCACGCTGGGGACACAGCCGCTAGCTACCCAGACAATCCTGCACTCAAAGAACCTGCGTTCTGGTGGGGAAGAAAAATAATAAACAAGGTAAATGTGAAAATACATATATAGTGTGTGAGATAGAAAGGGCTGAACAGAAACAAATCAATCGAGGAAGAAGAATATGAAATGTCAGGGGGTGAGAAGGATTTTGAAATATTAGATGGGAACTCTCTCTAAATTGTCTTAGTTCACAGAAAACAAACACATCCTGTGCAATCGAGTACTATTTTGATAATTCTTTTCTTTTTCAAAGTATCTCTGAGCTGACGTGGAATAAATATATATATTCATTTCATCCAACCTGCTAGCTAATGCATGAAAACTTCTGAGCTTCCTGACAGTTCTCTAACTTCTACAAAGAACATTTCCAGTGGCAGGGACTTAACTACCACATCACTACTTTTTTAAAAAACAAGATTTTATATTTTTTTAGAGCAGTTTTAGGTCTATAGCAAAATGGAGAAATTTCCCACATACCCCCTGCCGCCCATTATCAACTGCCCTAGAGCATGGTACTTTTGTTACAACTGATGAGCCTACACTGACACGTCGTCACTCAGAGTCCATGGTGACATTAGGGCTCGATCTTGCTATTGTGCACTCTGTGGGTTTGGACAAACATATAATGACGCACACCTGTCATTACAGTGTCATGCCGAGTCGTTTCATTGCCCTAAACATCCCCTGAGCTCTGCCTGTTCACCCCGCCCTACCCCAGCCCCTGGCGGCCACTGGTCTTTTTATTGTCTCCAGTTCTGCTTTTTGCAGAAGGGCATAGCTGGAATCATACAGGATGCAGCCTATTCACATAGGTTTCTTTCACTTAGTACATAATTACATTTTTAAACAATATTTTTTTGTTGTTAAGGGAAAAATTTATTTTTTTCTAACTAACACTTTTTAGTCCTTATTGTGTTCCAAGCACTTCTAAGAGCTGCTAGAGAAAGGGATGAATCAGAAGTGTTTCCTGCTCAAAAGAGCTTCCCCGAGGACGTGGAAGAGACTTAGCTGTGCTGTGAGAGAAAATTCTGTGTTTGGAGAGGGGAGCACAATGCTCGTTCCTATTTGGGGCCAAAACCCAACGCCTTAGGAACCGTATTCATCGTCCGAGGGCTTTTGTTCACGGACTGATTTATTCATTCACTCAGTCACAGGGTAAACACTAAAGTACACCCACTACCGTCAGACACAGTCTGTTGCTGAGGTTACAACACACAGCCAGGGAATACTGACTTTCAGCTCTTCAGGACACTCAGCCTATTGGCAGCGTCTGTACCCATATAAAAGATGATAAAATACTCGAGTTTATAACTTTTTTTTTCTGGCTCAACATGCACGGGCCTTTTCAAGACTCCTGGGTTATCGATAAATACTCTCTCCAGAGCCTTTACCGCTCTGCTGATATCCTTCCAACCTTCTCCCCTCTCCATGCCAACGAGGAGGACACAGGACATTGTCCTGGGCCTGACGAGCGCACTGTCTAGTGAGACTGGACATTAAACACCTAACAACGCCATCAAAGAGCACCAGTTCATAAACACCAAATTCAACTTGAACTCAAGACAAGCCTGGTTCAAGGCCGATGACCCTATGACATTAACCCCTCATATATTTTATCTTGTTAATTTCAATACATCTATCATGCTACCAAAAACTCTGCAAATTTTTTCTAAATTTCACTGTGATTCAAATACAATGTTCCTCAAAAAGAGAAAAAAAGGAGCAATAATTTCTGTTATTGTGCATTGCTTCTTTCTTCTGGAAGTCCAAAATATTGTCAAGAAAAAATGCCATTTTCCCTTTAAGACATGCAAAATAGCCAGAATACAAGAAATGTCACCAATTCATTTAGTAAATATGAGACCATAAGTACTTGTTATAGAGTAATAGGAACAACTGCTCCAGTAACAGAAGGTTCCATTTTGGTGCCTCCGACTCAACAAGTCCTGTATAGCAGGACTTTATCCACCATTAATTCAATTCTCATGACACTCCTACAATGTAATCAAACCAAACCTGGGGCCTCCTGACCCCCAAGTTCAGTCTTTGCTCTGCTGCCATGGTAACTAAACAAAGTCATCTACACGATGACCCAGCCCCATGGAACCCTACCTGATGATCCACAGAGATTTTCAATGTCAAGTCTTTTTAATTAAAAAAAAACAACAAAAAACTGGGAATAGAAACACATGTTTAAAATGAAATGAAAACATGTATATACTATAAAAAAAAATAAAAGTAAAATTATCAAGTGAAGGGAGACAGCTTGCCATGCTGTTATTCATTTTAAGGTTTCTTATTGTAATCCAAGTTTCTTGACTTTAAATAAGTTTCATTTAAAGAGAACTTCTGAATTGCCTGTGCTTTTCTAAGGAATCTTTTTCTAAAAAGGACTGACACCCTAGGATGGTGTGCAGCCTCTAAGAAACTGAGCCCCTTCCTCTCCAACACGGGTACAGGCCGTTCGTTCTGCTGATGCCCCGTGTCCGTCTCAGCAGGAAGACACACTTCATCATCAGCAACGCGGTCCCCCAGTCATACACCCTAAATGTGACTGGGAATTCCATCTTCTGCCTGCGCAGTACCTGACAAACATCAGTGTGACCCGCGAAGGCAGTGCGACAGCGTGTGCTGAGAGCAGTCGCCCTAATGTGTCCTGGCGTGCGGGTCTGTAATCACACATTTACATATGCAATGACCTACATTTGCATGTCAGATCACACACTGTCTCGGTTTATTAAGACTGGGCACCTCCCTGTGCTTGGCGGCCCTGAGTGGCGAGAGAGGGCCAGAGGGCGGTGTTTTTTGGCAGTTGAGGGACGAACTGCCACCAAGGATTAGGCTGATGTGGCCTGAGCATGAGCCACTTCATTAGACGTAATCTGGTTAACAGTGGGCAGTGCATGTAAACTTCACAGCCCATTTGTTGAGCCTCCCTTCCCCGATGGCCTTGCTTCAAAGGGCAACGTGGGTGAGTGACAGCTTGTCTCATCTGCTCCCGTGTCCTGTCAGCCAGTGTAGACGTGGACAGCTGACATGAGAAGGAGCATAGCTGCACATGTCCAACTAGCCTTGGGTCTTTGCGACACTGCAATTTGTACACAAACCAGCTTATGTGGGAGGCAGCCCCTCGAGGGGACAGCGGACAGGTACCACGCAGCCCTGGTAGTGACTCTGTGGGCTGTGCTGGATGCCACAGCTTGGTCTGAGGTGCTGTATCCCGCTGTGGGCAGCAGTGCAGTGGGTGCTTTCAACAAAAAGATGGTGTCGTCAGACATGTGCCCACTCAAGAAAAGAACTGTTTTTAGGAAAGAGTTATATTCTCTTTCTTGAATGATGTCCAATTCCCCCTATGCTTTTAGTTTAGCACTTGAGTTACACTGGGAATAAAATAACTCAGCAAAATAATGAGACTGAGATCAGGATGAAGTACAAACCAGATGAAATCACTAAAACGCCTTCTCCCTGTTATTTGGAGGATGAGCTGGGTCTCGCTCACCCGTGGTCCCTCATGACCAGGCATTTTCCTGAGCTGCACAAAATGGCTTTGGATTGGCTGAGTCACCTGTGGATCTCCAGCATTCATCGGAGTACAGCCCGGCTGCTCTGTGCCTCCACTATAAATAAAGACAGTGATGCCTGTGACAGGGCTGTTAGTCACCTCGGTCCCTGGCTGTGGGCCTCACCCGTCAGCCACACCTTTTGCTCCCCAAGTGCCCCACGCTCTTTGGCCTTGTCACGCAAGGTGTGGGCTGATCCCCAATGCCTCCCAAATAGCTTCGCCCTCCACACCTGGGAAACCAGCACTCTGCCTGCAGGGGCCGGAGCCGGCCCTTCTCACGAATCACCTTCCGCTCGTCCAGGCAGCGTTCCTGGCTCTGCTGCCCCCACAGCAGCTGACAGCAGCCACTCCGCTCCATAAGCAGGTACAAAAACTCAGGCACCGAGCGAGGCCCTGGGTCCCCCCGGATTTGGTTACTTCTTCACATGCATGTATTTCTCCCTCCACACGCTGAGATTCTCAAAGGCAGACACCGAGCTGTATCGTTGTATGCCAGGAAGGTAGCCTGACACAATTTACTTGTTTAGTAATAAATATTGATGGGATAAGTGAATGTCAATGGAAGACCTTCATGAACGTAGAAGGCTTTTAGTACACACTGCATGGCTGTGACCACAGACGGGCTCTGAGTGGAACCTGGTAGAGACTCAGAACAGTGCCGTGGGAAAAACTCCAGGCCTCGGGAGAGAGACAGGCCACTGCCTCGATCAGCCTCCCAACGCGTGGATCCGAAGTCCCTTTAACCCCCACTCAAGGGGACCAGCAGTAACCCACTGAGCCTGCTAGTGACACCGGAAGCACTGGACACTGTCCCAGTCAATCTCGCCCCAGCGCCTGACACAGCGCGGTGTCACAGCGGAGCCCACCGAGGTCCCATGGTGCCCAGGGAAGAGGCACAGGTTCTGGACTCGGTCGGCTGGCTGGCTGGCTCCAAGCCAGTTCTGACGCGCGGTACCGATCTGAGCTGGACAAGCTATCCAAGGCTTGTTTCCTACTCCTGCGACACGGATGAGCCTCCCCAAGGACCTGTGTCTGAGTGAGGTCATGAATATACGCACCTAGGACAGAGCCGAGCACGTGACAAGTGTCCATATCATTTATGACTTTCCGTCCCCAAGAGTGCCAGCAGTGACACCTTTCTGCCAATTCACTCTCATAGTAGGGCTCTCGTGTCTGTAGAGCCTCAGTTAATGTCCTCTAGTTTTCAAGGTTAAAATTCTTTAGTCTCTACCTCAATTTTCTTGT